TATATACAATGGCTAACTTTTTAATGATAGGCACAGTAGAGTAATGTATTGAACAATCTGATGCATATTTGCTGATACCATATGATGCATATATACTTTATAACCAATTCTATATACTATATAAATCGAAATACCGTATAACACTATGAATTATATAATTGACCATATGGTAATCCCCAAAAAAGAGGAGATTTTACAATGCATGATAAATTGCCTCTTTCAAACTTTACATTTCACTTTTGTAGTAGCAACCAAAATACTTAATAACGTCAATGTTTTATGTTTGCAATCTTTGTGTTCACGTGTTTAATGTTCAGCAACTATAAAGCAACCTGTAAAGCAACCTATTTTTAAATTTCACGTTAAGGAGTGAAGAATAAACCAGTAAATCAACTAAAAACATTTTACATACAATTTATATATTTCCAATTTTATATAGGTTATGTTTATTATATATATATATTTTATATATATATATATTTTATATATATATATATATATATATATATATATATATATATATATATATATATATATATATATATATATATATATATATATATATATATATATATATATACAGTGTTGTGAAAAAGTTAAGAACCACTATAGAAAAAAATTAAATAACATAAAATAAAACATGGGAAAAAAAAAAAAAATTTTTTTCCAAAATTAATTAACAGAACTTATAAAAAGAAGGATTATATATTATGTAATAATTTTTTTCAATATTTTTTTTGAAGAAAAAGTTAAGAACCACAAGAAATCTTAACTTTTTCACAAGTGCTTAATGCGGTGGAAACGGCTTTTTTAAGTTGATTTTTACCTTATTTAATTAAATATTTTATCAATGACCTGAGTCATTACCAAAAAACCAAAAGAATTTAAAAATAGTATTTAATTTCAAACAAAAAAAAACTCTCTTCGTTTGAAAAAATGAGCAGAAAAGCTATTACCTATGAAGATCGTGTAAAAGTAATTCATTATCACCAGGAAGGTAAAACCGTTCGTGAAATTGGAAGAATAAAACGATCACATAGTTCGGTGCTAACAATCATTAAAAGATTCAGAGAGACGAAATCTTACGTTGATCGCCATCATTCTGGAAGACTGCATTTGACGACACCCAATGATGATCGTCTTTTAATCATGTTGGCAAAGAAAAATTGAACTATATCGTCGCATGAATTAAGAAGGGAAAGGAAGCTTTCAGATGGATGTCAGGCATCGGTATCACTTGTGCGTAGGAAACTAATAGATAATAATATGCTATGGAAAAAAGCTGTTCTAAAACAGAGACTTTACAAAAAACATATAAAAAAGCGAAAAGAATTTTGCCAAAGTGTCAAAGAATGGTCTAAAAAAAAATGTAGGACAGTAATGTTCAGTGATGAGATGAATATCGAGATTAATAACCGAAAAAACCGAATTATGATCCGCAGGCAGCTTTTCGAAAACTATAATCTTGATTGTATCGTTCAAAGAACAAAACAAGGTAGCAGGTCGGTCAGAATATGGTGTCAGCAAGTCTTGGTATGTTTAAATTATTTGATGGTCGACTCAACTCTATTTATTACGTCGATATTTTAAAAATAACTTGTTACCATCAATTGATGCACTTGAGCAAAGCGTTCCGTTCATTTTTCAGCAAGACAATGCAATACTGTATATATATATATATATATATATATATATATATATATATATATATATATATATATATATATATATACATATATATATATATATATATATATATATATATATATATATATATATATATATATATATACATATATATATATATATATATATATATGTACATATATTTATATATATATATATATATATATATATATATAAAAAAATATGAATATATATATATATATATGCATATATTTATATAAATTTATATAAATATATATATATATATATATATATATATATATATATATATATATATATATATATATATATATATATATATATATATATATATGTATATATATATAGGGTAAGGCGGGGCGAGTTCGTCACGTTTTACTTTAACAAAATGAATTCGCATATAAATAAGTGAACTTTTCTAGTTTAAAAACTTTTTTTTATTAATTAGGGTCTCTATTTTGTTAATGCATTGAATCAAAATGAATTCTAAAGTTACTCTAGCGTATAATTTGATTTTTTCATCATCAAGTCATGAGGGGCGAATTCGTCAATTACGGGGCGAATTCGTCAGTGCAGCTAAACTTATTTAAAAATTCGTGACTCGGGCGATAGACGAAATTCCTTTCTAGTGGTAAAGGCAACTTACCTAGGAGAAAAAAACTTTGACATATAACATTTTTGAGGTCACAGTAGGATGATTTCCCTAATCTAGAAGTAAACCTAGAAGTTGCGAGTTCGATTCCCACCGCGTCCCTGGTAGCACTGCGCTCAACTTGTTTTTCTCTCAACTCTATAACTCCGAAACACGAACCTTGATCGTCAAGGTTCGGGTTTCGGAGTTATAGAGTTGAGAGAGGGTTGTAAACACAACTAAAGTAGCCTCCTCGACTGCAGTGGCCTAGGGTAAAAGGACATCAAAAAGGACATCTAAAAGGACATCAATTGTTAAACTTTTTCCAAGAAAATATCAAATAATGATTTTGGCATAAATGAAAACCGTATAACCGCGCTAGCGCAAAAAATAGCACGTTAAAGCAACAAAAAATCATATCACTACTATGACTATTTAAATAACAAAAATCATATCACTACTATGACTATTTAAAAATTTACAAGACGTTTATATGTTCATTGCACACAATTTGCACATGTATCAACTCCAAAACATCCTTCGCATGCCCACTGATTGCAATTTAAACATTTAAGCCAATCTTCACTTGCTTCTGCCCAAACAGCTGCACAAACACAACAAAAGTCTTTATCAGTGTTATTTTTTAGAATAAAACTTGAAGAACTTGGGTGATCAGAATCAGCTGAAAAAAAAGTATTTTTTGATTTGGTTTTAACTGATTTATCGTGATCCTTTTTTGACTTCTGTTTAACACTGACCACATTTTTTATTGCAGCCTTTTTAGCAGGAGGCTCTTTTATAAACTTAACATTACCTGGTGATGTAATAAGAGCAATGTAACGTTTTGAATGAGTAGGTTTCCTTTTTTTTTCAGGAGAAGGTATAATAGTCCTTAAAATAGATAAATTTTGGTCTACCTGGTGAATTGTTGCTTTATTAAAAACCTCTGCTTTTTTATATTCGAAATCTTTTACTGGGTTTCTTAGGGGATGCAAACCACAATGGTAAAACGCATTAACAATCAATCCTCTTTTTGTAAGTATATTTGGCCATATTTTGTTAAAAATAATGTGAAAGTTGCAACGAGGCAAAGAAATATCATCATTTTCAGCTAAGTAATTAGACACGGCTTCAGACCACATACGTTTAACTACTTTATTAACATGTGTGTCAAGTGAATGAAGGCGATGTGTACAATGAGGTGGAATGCATATTATTTCAATATCCATCTTTATTGCTAATTCAATCGCTTCAATAGTCACATGACTTTTGTGGCTATCCAAAAATAACAATACTTTTTTCCCATTAATTTTTGTACAAAACTCATTAAAATGATGTAAATAAGCAATAAAAATGTCTTGATCAATATATCCACTTTGACTACAATGCACTTTTGTACCCAAAGGAAATTTAGATGCATCTGGAATCTTTGTTCCCTTAAATATGAAAAATGGTGGTAAGCTGTCTCCTGCTGCATTAACAGTGGCCAGGTATGTTGTTAGTGTGCCACGTTCACCAATAGTTAACTTTTGTACCTAATGAGAACCCTTTAATGCTATTACCTTAACAGAGACATTTGGCACAGATGAAAGGCCAGTTTCATCACAGTTATAAATCAAATTTGGATAATTTTATATGTCAAGCTGTTCATAAAAAGGTTGTATATCGTTAAAAAATGTCTGAACGCGATTCTCATTAAATGCTTCTGCTCTTGCTCGAGAAAGCCCTTCAGGAATTCTTAGTGTCAACTGAGTATGCCATTTTTCGGAATGAGAGAAACCAATCACGTAATGCCAAACATTTATTATGCCAACTTTTTGGAATGGACTTCTGTAATAAATGACGTCTACACAAGCTTTTGGCATAGAAATAAGCAGCAGATCTTAACCACATTATTGTGAGAGGAAACCCTCTCTCAGCCATATATAGCAGCCTTTGAACAAGAGTTTCTTGATTTTTAAAGAAAATTGTTATACCACCTATAGAATGTGTTTGATGTTTTCCCCGTAATTTATCAATCAACGTTGTACGTGGAATATTAAATTGTTTTGCTGCAGTTGATATAGTTTCTCCATCTATAATGGTTTGCAGAGCAGCCTGAAAAATTTCTGCATTATAATTTTTTTGTCGCTTTGGTTTATAATTACGTACCATCTATACATTTTAACATGAAAAATTATGCTATTAAAATCTACCATAAGTAATAATACATTCTTAGTTTTTTTTATATTGGAATATATATAAATAAATATATTTAAATATATATATATATACAATATGTATATACATATATATATATATACACAAAAAAATATATATATATATATTTATATATAAATGCTTTATATTTTCCAATGAATGATACATTTGTTTATAATAAATACTACAAAAAATACTTATAACAGATATTTTATACTGTACACACATTTTATACTATATACTTACTATTTACTTTTTACAATATATAATAGTTATACTAAATAGTATAATATTATATATATTTTTTAAAATAGAATAAGATCTTTGCTTTATAATATATAATAAAAGTCTTATTTTAATGTAAAATTAGTAAATAATATTAACTATTCTAATAATATTTATTGAATTTCAATAATATTTTAACAATATTTAATACTTATACATATTTTAAATATGTATAAAAATAGGCAGTGCATAGCCTAAAAATATATAACATATATGTTTTATATACTTATTATTTACTGAATATATATTTCAGACTATACATTATAATAAGTTTGTTTACATGTTTCACATCAAAGTCGTGTTTATAATTAAAACTTCAAAAAGTTTTAAAAGCTAACTGTAAATTAATATATTCTGAAGAGCCTTTCTCTTATAAATGTCTAAAGCTTTGGAGCGCATTTTGGTCACAATTTGTTTTTCTTTCAAACGGCGCTCAGTAGTTTAAAAATTTGCATGATGAAACAACCTAATTTATTTTTCGTATTTAACTTTTCTTCAACGACGAAGTTGCCCCTCATTTGAGCATGTGCTAACAATCATTACGTGACGATTCCAAAGGCAAAAACATAGTAACTTAAATTATTATTTAAAAACTACTGACATCAATCAATCAAAAAATATATATACATATAAATATATAGTTATATTTATATATATTTATATATATATATATATATATATATATATATATATATATATATACATATATGTATATATATATATATATTTATATATATATATGCATATACATATATTTATATATATACATATAAATATATATATATTTATATATGTATATATATATATATATATAAATATATATATATATATATATATATATATATATATATATATATATATATATATATATATATATATATATATATGTATATATATATATATATATATATTATCAACCTATATGTTCTATAAAATACAGCTCCACTAAATATCAGAGAAAAACAAGAAATCTCCTTTCTTTGGAGATTTCTATAACAATCCCCTAATAAATACTCAAAATTTGAGAATATAAAAACTATGTATTAGATATATATTATATAGACTATGTATAGACTACATATTGTTGAGAATATATAGACTATATATCTTTATTTGATGGACTGTTTACTAATATCATTATTATCAAATAGTAAAGTTGTACGCAACATTTTAATGCATAAGTTTTATAAACATTATCAACTTCCTTTATTTACTATTTGATAATAATATTAGTAACCAGTCAATAAAATAAGGATACTGCATTCAACAACTTTTTTAATATGCTATAAAGTTGTTTAATTAGTCAAATATTTGATCTAAAAAACTTTTATTCATGCAAGCTTTATTAATGCAAACATTTTAATTACAAAAGTATTAAAACGACGTAGATTAAAGCACGTCAATAATAATTCTATTACTTGCCTTATGTAATCTCTAAATAATAATAATTACATACTTTTTTTTATTTATTCAAAAAAGAAAAGCAGCAATTGGTACAAATATTTACGTTCAAAATGGCGTTTGTTTTAATATTCGCTGAAAGAAAAACGTCATTATATAACCATAAACGGAGTTAGCAGGTCTCGGTACATGAACACTCTCTCTACGACGAAATCTTGAAATGAAACAGAGATCTTGAAGAACACGCTCAACACAACAGCAGCGTAGATGTTATTCACATAAATTTTTTCGACCTGCTCAAAGGGCCAGAGTCAAGCACTTATACCATTATTTTTTTATAGTAAAAAAAAACTTTAAAAACCTGGCTCCTTGCTTACATATCAAACTATTTAAATACTTAATTTTAAATTTATCACAAAAAGAATTGTTGAGTCAATATTTGTGTTTAACTTTTTTTTTCCCCTCAAAAACCAGCTTATTTGGACTAAGGCCCTTTAACTATGTACCGATTTAAATGTTTTTTAAAATGACTAAAAAATCGGGCCAGTTTATTGCTCGCAAATATTATTTACGTAGTCAGTGTTAAGTCGCCTTGAAATCAGTTAATTCAGTCTCGGTCGGAAGCTCACGCTTCTGACCGAGACTGAATTAACTGATTTCAAGGCGACTATAATAGGAAAAGAAACATTGTATCCGAATTTAACCAAACGAAAACATAGGAAAAGCTGCATTACTTGTTACTAATTTGTTAAAATACTGATTTCCATAGCAATTAAGTGAACTATTTAAAAATATCTATTAACTTGATCCATTAGTAACTCGCAGTATGCAACCCGTAATATGCGTTGTTAGTTAATAAAATTAAAAAAAATTTTTTTAATTGATAAGCATTTAATGGTAAAAAGATGTTTACAAAGATATTACATTTATTTTAAATAAGCATTTAATGGATTGTTAAACAATTATATTCGACCATATAGTTAATAGCAATAATAATACTAATAATGCTTTTAATAAAATAATAATTATATTTATACTTCATTTTACTTAAGTTTTCAAGACTATTAATATTTTACAATAAAGTATAAAGTTCATGGTAAATATCATTATAATAATAGAAACAATCAATATTGGTAACGTTAGAGCTATATTAATACAAATAACAGTGTATTCAGCAGAACAAAATAATAACTTCTATAATTCTTGTTGCAAATTAGATAAAAATGGACTCAAAATAAAACATAATTTAAAAAATTTAATAACTGAATGATAAAGTATTACGATATCACTACCAAAGTATTTAAATATAAAAATAAACACCGAACTATCGGTAGTAATGATATTGAAAATACGATATCTAAAAAGCTAATTTTCAAAGTGTTTGAAAATGAGAATATTGTTTCCAATAATGAAAATTGTTTCCATCAACTACCGAAGTTTTTTCTGCCACTACCAAGCTCAATATTAAAAAAAATAAAATTGGTAATAATATGAATTTTGCTAAATAAATTTAATTAATATTATTTTGTTTTTTATTTCAAAACTTCAGAGCCGAATAATTTAATCTAAACATTCGACAATTTATAAACATTAAATTTAGAATAATTCTTCATTAAAACCATTTATTAAAATTAAATTATACAGTACAATCTCTTCAATTTGAAAACCTTCATAATTAGATTAAATGCAAAGTTACTGTGAAAAGCGCTTAAGAAAAAAATCAACTTTCTATCATTCTATAATCACTTTATTTCCAATTTTTATTTTTTCCCATAATACTCGAATTAGAGAAATTCTAGTGTATTAAATAAATTTGATAAAATAATTAATTTTAATTATAATTTAAGGTGAACTATCTTTGATACAAAGGTTATTTCTTTAAAAACTGAAATTTACAGATTTGTCTAAAACTGTAAAAATAACATCGTTATATTGTTTTGAAGAAAGTGACAACTTAAGAGTTGATAATGCTAAAAGCAAGTCCTTATTGGGAAGTCCTTACGCATATGCTGTTTAACTTTGCACTGCATAAATTCCAACTGTGAGCTTAGATACTTTTAGCTTGGATGCGTTGCATTTCCTAAGCGACACACTGGAGTTAACACAATCGTCAGTGGAAGTCAACTCAATCTGGAAGTCAACACAACTGGAAATAACACAATCATCAGTGAGAGTGCTGCTAACATGTTGTCAGGATTGAAGAAATCATCAACGATTAATAAAAATATTACTTGTATTGCACATATTTTCCACTTGGTAATAACACA